CTCCTCCCATCCTAAAATGAAGGAAAACCATGACAAAAGAACTTTCATTCTGCTTTTTACGGTGTTATTTTTGAAGGAAGAGGCCTGACTCGTCTCCGGAGTCCAGGTGTCAACGTGTTGGATCCCTACCCATGGCTCTGGGTGGGGAGCCTGCCTCAGGGAGGAGCTCAGCAGAGGGATGGCTTTGTCCACTTCTCCGAGCGCACAGCGTCAGCGAGCCTGAGCTGCCGTGTCTCTCCAGCCCCTCCGATGGGTCAGAGCCCCAGTGCCGCTAACCTCTGTCTGGGGCTGGTGGAGTGCCGGGCTTGATGTTCACCCGGGGGTCTCACCCTGGTCGCAGTGCTTGGTGGTGCCTGGGAGCGCTCAGAAATGGTAAATTCTGGAAAACAGAGCTGAAAGGAGGAGGCAGCAGGGCTGCAAGAAGCACTGACAAGACTGTTGCTCAAAAGCGGTGCCTTTGTGTAGCTGGGGAAGCAAAAGCCTTTGCCTGTTTAAGTACAACTTCCGTCAGTCTCAGTTTTAAACCAGATTTGGTTGCATCTGGGGAATGACCCAGCACATGCTTAGTTAGGTATGAAACAAACAAACCTGATTTTTGGCCCCAAACTAGTAATATAGTGACTGCAGGCAGTGCATTAGTTAACAGCAGTAGGAGAGTAACTAGAGAACATGTCACTGATGATTCTGTGAGATTCCTTTAAAGTGATCCCCAGATTAGGAATTAAAGTACTTAATGCTTTTCTTCTATAAAGGAGATGTTAGAATTGAGTCAGCCTATGGGTGTTTGAGGCAGCTGCGCTTGGACTACACAAGGGACTCACCTCAAACACCCATAGGCTGACTCAAGGGACTCGAAGTACAAAACATTCCTTAATTGTTTGCAAATTCCCTCTGCTCTGCTGGATGGGTTGCCTTGCTTGGGAGGGATCTCGCTTCCATACCAGGCAAAGCGACTTGGCACGGCAGTGTGCTGCTGGTTCCTCTCGAAGGTGGTTTCAGCAAGGCTCTAGAAAAATACCAGCGAGGAGTCTCAGCCTCGGCGTTAACGAGGCTGCTGATGGACGCGTTGTTTGGACAGTTGTGGTGCTCTGCAGCATCAAGTTTATTAATAGTAGGTGGAGAAGCAGTTTGCCGCCCTGCGTGCTAACGGATACGCTGGAGAACTGCCGTGGGAGATCTGCACTTGTGAAAGACTAATGCTTAGTATTCAGCAGCGAATGAGAATTTGGGGAAGATTAACAGCCTTTGATTTACACCCAGCTGAGGAAGGCATTGGAGCTTTGCCTGTTTATGCTGTTGGGCCTTGTTATGTGGGATGAATATTCCATTACCTTGGAGTTGGGAGCTGGGCTGCTTGCAGTCCTCGGTGTCAAGACGTGGCTGGCCGAGGGGCTCTGTCACCTGTGACGAGCTGAGGTCAGATCTGTGGTAGTGCTCCCTTGGGCTTCAGAAGAGGCTGGGAGGAGATGGTGGTTAAATCCACAGCCAGATCTGGAGTGGTAAAGTGACCCTCCATGTAAGTTAAAATCGGCTGCAGTGCTCCAGAAAGCTGCCAGAGCAAAAACTTGACTTTCTGTTCTGCAAGTTCTTTAAAAAAGTTAAATAAAATTGTCTTTGCTAGAGGTGTGTAAGATCAACCCCGAAAGCCCTGAAGCAGTGGGAGGGTAAAGTACATCTAGAGTGATAATCATCTTACTCGCTGGCGTGGAAATCAAACCTATGGTGGACCTGGCATGCTGGAGTCCACCTGGGTGTTCTGGAGAGTCTGGCTTCCTCTGGTAAAACACGGTTCAGACACTGCAAGGAACTGCAGACCAAAAGACCAGAGCAGAACTCTTGGGTTTTTGTGTCTTTGCGTTTCCAGAGCCTTGCCTCGGTGTGTGACCAGCAGACTTTCCCGAAGGGTCTGGGCTAAGGACACAAAGCGGTTAAACACGCGCTAGCTGCAGGGAGTTGGCTGCACGGCTGTCTCCCTTTTCGCTGTCCGGAGCAGCGTGCCAGCCGCTGCGGTGGCAGAGGCTCTGCCGAGCAGGAGAAAGCTGCCCAGGCAGCCCAGAATTGCCCAGTCCCTCCAGCTCTGGCAGACGCGGGCCAGAACGTGCTCTCAGCCTTTCCTGGGGTGACCTGCCCATGGCACATCGTCTCTCCTCTCTCTGCTTGGTTCAGCTGGATAGAGGTCATGCGTACAGCATAACACTGTCATTTTTTGAGCCCCTGATTAAGGACGAGCATCTCGTGCTGGCCTGGCACTTGACGCTCTGGGGGAGGATTTGATGATCTGGTGGCAGGGTGCTTAGGGCATGGCAGCAGGGCTGGAGGCGAGCGGGCAAGCACTAATATCCGAGCCAGATTGTTACTCTTGGTAGCTGTGAGGTAAGTCTTTAAGCAACTAATGCTCCCAGAACCACTGAACGCCCTCCCAATGTGAAACTTGGTTCATTTATCTAGTGTGTCCCTACTGGGGTGCTGGAGTCCCTGAAGTCTCTCTGGCTTG